ATATAGTGTTATAAACCAATGTTACCTCAATAAAAAAAAAAAAACCTAGGAATAAACCTATGAAGGAAGTGGAAGACTTGCTCACTGAAAACTGCAAAACACAGCTGCAACAAATTAAAGACACAAATAAAGGGAAAGACATCCTGCATTCATGGATTGTAAGACTTAATATTGTTAAGATGTCCATACTATCCAAAGTGATTTACAAATTCAGTGCTATTTCTATCAAAATCCCAATAGGAATTTTTGCAGAGATATAAAAACGTGTCCTAAAATTATACGGAATCTCCATCTGAACAGCCGAAACAATTTTGAAAAAGAACAAAGCTGGAGGACTCAAACTTCCTGATTTCAAAACACATTACAAAGCTATAGTAATCAAAACAGTGTGATACAGGTATAGAGACAGACAAACAGACTAATGAAACAGAATATAGAGCCCAGAAATAAACCCTTGTATATATGGTTAAATGATCTACATCAAGGATGCCAAGACCATGCAATGGGAAGGGACAGTCTCTTCAACAAATGGTGTTGGGAAAACTGGATATCCACATGCAAAAGAATGAAATTGGACCCTTACATTACATCATATATAAAAGCTAACTCTAAATATATTGAAAGTCTAAAAGTATAAAACTCCTAGAATAAAACACAGGAGAATAGCCTCATGGCATTGGATCTGGCAATGATTTCTTGGATATGACACAAAAAGCACAAGCAACAAAAAGAAAAATAGACAAATGGGAGTATATCACACTTAAAAACTTCTGTGCATCAAAGTACACAATCAACACAGTGAAAAAAACCCTATAGAATGAGAGGAAATATTTGCAAATCTTATATCTGATAAGGGATTTGTATCTGGAATGTAGAAAGAACTCCTACAACTCAAAAACAAAAAATCAAATAACCTGATTAAAAAATGTGCAAAGGACTTGAATAGACATTTCTCCAAAAATGATATACAAATGACTAACAAGCATATGAAAAGATGCTCAACAACACTAATCAACCGAGAAATGCAAATAAAAACTACCGTGAGATACCACCTCACACCCATTAGGATGGCTTCTATAAAAAAAGAACAACAGGAAATAACAAGTGTGGTGAGGATGTGGAGAAATTTGCATACTCGTCCATTGTTGGAGGAATTGAAAAATGATGCAAGCATTATGGAAAACAGTGTGAAGATTTCTCAAGAAATTAAAAATAGTAATACCATATGATCTAGCAATCCCACTTCTGAATATATACCCAAAAGAATTGAAAGCAGGGTTGCAAAGAGATATTTGCATGTCCATATTCATAGCAGCACTGTTAGCAATAGCCAATAGGTCGAAGCAACCTAAAAGTCCATCGACAGATGAGTGGATAAATAAAATATGTTATATACATACAATGGAATATTATTCAGCTTTAAAAAAGGAAGAAAATCCTGTCACATGCTAAAACATTGATGAACCTTGAGGATATTATGATAAGTGAAATAAGCCAGTCACAGAAAGACAAACACTGTATAATTCTATTTGTGTAAGGTATCGAAAGACATCAAATTCATAGAAACAGAAAGTAGAATGGTGGCTAAAAGGGACTTGGGGGAGGGGGAAAAGGAATGCGCAGAGTTTCAGATTTGCAGGATGAAAAAGTTCTGGAGATCTGCTTCACAACAATGTGAATTTACTTACACTACTTAACTGTGCACTGAAAAATGGCTAAGATGGTAAATTTTTTGTTTTCTGTTTTTTGCCACAGTAAAGAAAAAGAACCAATTTATCTTATGTATTTTCTTATACCCAATGGTATCCTTCAGTTCTCTACGTATCTTACGGCAGTCATGGCATCCTCTTTTCTACCATAATGTGATTGATAATTTATTTGTCTCCTAAATATCTCAGATAGACAAGAGAAGGCAGAAATGTAACATAGTATCTGAGATGTACAGGATATTCAATCAATACTTCCATTTACTGACGCTACGACACATTATCTAATTTACTTCTCATAACAACCTTAGGAAGTATTTTAATTATTTTTTTACAAATAAGAAAGACAAAGGCCCAGGAAGATAAGTAACCTGTAGAAGATCTCACAGTTTCTAATTTTTGAAGCCAGGATTAGAGCTCATGCTTGTCTCAAAAATCCATATAAAATCCGTAGTCTTTCCAGTATGCTATATTTAATGAACCAACCCTCATCTGCTCCCAAGCTTGGTATTAGGGACACTTTAATGTAAATAGGGAAGGATATATTACCTCCTCATATTAATTTCCAAATCAGTGATAAATCTGATATCCCAAATATTAAACTTGAGATCCAGGGGAAAAACTTTTTTCTCAAGCTTTCTTTACAAAAGATATTTAACTGATAACTTTACTAAGAATTGATTTTTTAAAGATTCAATATTTTTTAGACTAATGCTCATTGCTTTAAATATGATATTTTATTTAATGTGCGATATCATGCCTGCTTGAAGTTCTGAAGGGCTAGACTGAGGGCCCACAGTAAATAATATGATGGGTTCTCAAAAAGTCTTTTCTACCATCCATCTAGGCGGTTTCTGACTCCCATTTCTTCAGCTCATCCAATAATATTGGAAACATTCAATTTCAGGTATTATGTCCCTTGCTTCTTGAAATGCCTACGATTTTTCTCTTTCATATAACTAGTCTTGACTGATAAAGGAAGGAAGCATCAAACTTTGTTAGTAGAAGTTAAGTCAAGATGGTAACCCAACTACACACTCTAATCTTTGGTAAATACCAGTCTTAGACCTGTGCTAAACATCCCTTGATAACTTTTAATCTGTTTTCCCCAAGTCTTCTCAACCTAGGTAGACTATCTCATTAGATTTATGAGTTCCAGGTACTAGACATCCAAGAACAAAGAAATTTCTTGAAATACAGAATAAATGTGTACCATCCTCAGAATACTAATGGTTTGAGAAAATGAGGAGGAAAAAACAGAAGTAGAAGATCCATTTTGTACACAGGCTAGTAACTCTCTCAATCCAAAATTTCCAATTTGTCATACCTGCAAATAAACTTAATTCATTACAAACATAAATTAGAAGAAAAATAACCAAAATAGTTCACAACCTGTACTTCTATATTTCCTGAGAATGCCAGCTTATATTTATTGAGAATCAAGAAAACTATCAGAAACCTAATATGGTGCTTTTTGTTTGTACAAAATTCCAGTCTCATTTTGCTTGGAATATTTTGGATAAAATTTTGATTACCGCATTTCAGGAGACCCATGATAATGATATAAATTGTCTGTAAAGGCAAATAGATTGGATGGGTGAAATTTTATCTAAACAGATTAAAACACTAAAACTTCTGGAAAGATGAAGAATGAACAAGATATGATGGAATATCACAAATTAACATGGTGCCTGTACTCACTAAACGTAGCTACTATTATTCTTTAAAAAGTAATAAAGAGCTAATCCTAAACTCTAACCACAACAGAAAGACTAGGACAAGGGGATAATGTGAAAGAAGGCTTAACTGTGAAAAATAATTAAACATTACCTAACTTTGTAAGTTTTATCTCAAATCAGTACAACACAGATCTTGTCAATGTCGCTCCACATGACCCTTATATTTTTATACAAGTTTGTGAACAAAAAAAGAATACTCCACTAAAAGTAAACATACTTGTGATTTTTAGAAGAATAGATATTTATATGTTCCACACATTGAATCAATTTTCAAACTTCAGACTTTTTAAGTGCTTTTGGAGTAGAACACATCCTGTGCCTGTTTCGTCCAGTTTCTTACCGTAGCTTTGCCAAGGCATTCACACAGGCATAAAACTCACCTTCTTAGAAGCAGCCTGCTTTAAGACAAAAAAATGACCAAGGGGGGTCAAAATACAACTCTGTGAATGACCTAGTTATCCAATTCGGTTTCAATGTTTCCAAGTCAAGGGATAGAAAATGGCTGAGGAACTAAGGAGAGCAGCTGAGATTTAACAGTTTGTTCAATTTCAAACTTCCTATTAAGTGGAAAATAGAGACTACATGTCTTTACTGCTTTAAAAAAGATCAAAAATGACATTTAATGACATTCTTGGGGAAGACCTGCAGCTGCATGGAATGCCTTGGAAAATCAACTTTAATTGCTTTGTTGCACATAGTCGTCTTTTTTTCAATTCGGTATGAATTTAAACATTTCAAATCCAGATGGGCAGCACATGACAAATATGGGTAACCTCAGCCAATGAAACAGAAGTATTTTTTTCTGTCCTGTTTAATGTGTTACTTCCTCCAAGAAACAATGGAAAACAAATAGTTTTTTTTAAAAAATAAAATACCAATAAGTCAAAAAAATTAAATGGGAGATAAGTTCCCAGAAAAAATTATGGTTATGTTCATCAATGTTATATCACCAGTACTATTTAAAGGGCTCTCCAGAACTGGAGAGATTTAAATACCCAACTGAAATTATAGTCAAGTATTAATTAACCATTTTGATTCCAGAAAGAGCATGAATAAATATATGTCACAGAAAGTTCTTAAGCTTTATTTAACTTTATTCATCACTCTGTCTCCGAGATTTAACAAAAGATGCCAAATGCCTAACTGATGTGGAAGCGGTGAATTCAGATGTGAGCGGGAAGACAGAGGATAAGTAATGCATTCAAAGAATCTATTAACTTAAAAATAAGTTTTTAAAATACAAGTGAAAAGATATTTGCTTTGTGACCAAATCCATTTGACATTATGGTATCGCTTTAATGCCACAACTGGAGTCACTTCTTGGCATGTTTTTTTTTGTTTGCACAAGTGGTATTTTATTATAGACAACAATCTAATTTACAAATCTTTATACATTTTAAGGCAAACATTCAGGCATCGTAAACAGAAAAATTTAAATATGCAAAATTCAAATATACAACAAAAAAATAGAGACAGAAACTTATTTTTGAACTATGTATTTATTGCTGCACTCGCTTGCTAGTTCCTTATCTAGAATCTGAAAATGTAAGAAAGTCCTAAAAATGTAGCAGAAGCATTTCGGCACACTGATATCCATACTCCAGTTTGTGCAGAATGGTCTCCTTAACATTCCTAGAGCACTCTTTGGAAGAAAGAGGCGAGGACTGGCCATTTGGTGGCCCTTTGGAAATGCAAGCTTTCTGGGAGTCCAGAAACAGCTGCAGTGCAAGCAGAGTTTAATGAGACACCGCTCTTGCTGGGAAGAATGCGTCTTCCATCAGAAAAGGAGAAAACTCCAATTCGTCGGGCTTATCCAACTACTGTACAAGTAGGTCATTTCCAGCAAGAGTTTTCTGTGGATCTCTGAGTACTTTCTATTCAACTCATCTGTTGGTGGGTCATGGATGAAATAGCTTTTCCTATAAAGCCGATGATATTAATTGTAGATGTCTTTTTAAGTATTTTTTCCTACCTCTTTAAGTTTCTCTTTTTCCCTTCTGTGTATTTGTTTATTCTGGTCTCTCTTTTATGTTGCAGATTTCTCTCAAATGAAATTTTGTTCTGCATTGGTATTAAACAGGGAACTGTAGAAAGAGGTTGGACACTGTGTGTCTCGGTGGGCTTGTGAATGGGGGTCTTTCTTTACAGGATGGTTAGACAGTAAACTGACTTTTTCTTGGGAGATTTACAAATGCCAATATTTAGACATCATTTTTATGAAACCCTGATATTTCTCCAGAGAAGAATCATCTCTTCTTGTGCCTGGAGTTATTTTCCTCAGCAGCTCACATTCTGAGAGAAGGATTGAAGAAGGTGGATGGAGGTCCCAGTGTCAATTTTAATGACAGTCTCATAATTTCCCACTTGTCATTATGACGCTTATCACTATTCTCTCCTGTGCCTACTGTCCCTAAGTTTGGAAACTCCTGTTTCAATTTCTCCAAATAATAGACTTGTGATCTCCTGAGGTCATAGGTAGAAGAGAGGTGAAGGGTGTGTATGTACCTTGGGGCAGGGGAGTTTTAAGAAAGGATGGTCACTTAGCTCTACACATTGGGAAATATGTGGATGTTGGGAAGGGGGATGGAGGGAGTGACCATTGTTCCATATACAGATTTTCAAGCAGTCCACCTGTCTTCAAGTCTGCATCTTATCTTGTGTTCTTTGGCAATTTATTACCTCCAAGCCTAGAGTTCTTTAGGACAAAATTATCTTCTTTCTTTTTGATATTCCTCTCTGTGGGCACTTAGTTTGTAACTTCTCCTCTGATAAGATAATCCCATGTGCTTTGCGTCTTTTCAAAAATAGTTAAATAGTTGTCATTTGTAGTCCGTGTTTGGCCCCTCTCGTGCTTTTTTCCTGTCTCTCTCTCTTTCTCATTCCCTCTCTTGTTCTTTCCTCCTCCTGCTTCCTCATCTCCTTCTCCCTCCCTTTCCCTTTCCTTCTCTCCCTCTGCTAATATAGCAGGATTTGAGAAGGGAGAAATGATAAATGCACGTGGCTGCCTTGATATTCAACCAGACAGCCAGACTGAAGATCCCAATACACTCCCTGCTCTATGCGGAGGAATTGGTTTCAGGCTAGGCAGCCCTGAGGCTGGAGGTTAAGGCCTGAATGATTACAGCTGAGCAGCATGAGTGCACTAGGGGCTGACATTTGCACTCAATTGCTTGATTAAATACTGTCCTTTTATTAAAAAAAAGTTATAGTATTTTTTTGTTTGAGTCATATCATTGATGTAACTGTGGGTTTTCCATTTCTTTGGCAGTACATTTTTTGGTCAATATGATTTAGTTGATTTTAGCTTCTATTTTAAATCTCTTGGTATTTATCATGTCAAAGAAACATAGAGGTAGACATATCCTTCCTGCAAATCCCTTCCAGACTTTTCTCTGGTTTACATCGTAGACTTATCATTCTGCTATATCCAACTGCTTCAATCACAAATACCTCTGCATCCCTCTGTATGCTTTTCAAAGCTTTCCATTATGTGACCCCAACTAGTCAACATCATTTTCTGTCATTCTGTAGACCTCTTGGTCTGGCCAGGTGAAACTTCTGTGTCTGCCAAAACCAAAGTGCTCCTATCCCACGTCGTGGATCCTGATGCTGCTTCTCTAGAACTCCTCTTCCCAGATAAAACTGGTACCCCTACCTGGTACCACACTCATCACTGCCTTTGCCTTCCCTGGAATGTTCACTTCAGTACTCACCATCTTCTTAAAATCCTATCTCATCCTCAGGCTCCAATTCAGTGTCCTACTTTCTTTGACAACTTAACCACTTCTTGTTTTTTGTCTTGTTTAGTTAATCGTTCCTCCAAAATCATTCTTATATCCCTAAAATGGATTTTTAACTCTGAGAACAGAGACCGTTTTTCATTTCATTCCAAGCCTCACAATGCATAGCCTCTTTCTGAGCACATATCAATCAATGGGCCAATCCAAAAGGTTGTCTCTTTCTGTTTGTCCCTTTTCAGTAGTGGTTTCATAGGTCAGTTTTATTTTTTGTTGATGTATTATGAAAACTAGACTCTGAGAATTGGGAAGTTTAAAAGTTTTCTTTAGTTGAATCATCTGGCTGAGGAAGGAAAGTTTTGTTTTCTGCTTATGATATATTTTGATGGTACATTTTGAAATATAACTAAAAACTATTTGGATTTACTATTGTTTATTTAAATTTTTTAGCTTGTTTGTAAGAAGATAAATTAGCTACTGATATCATCTACCCCATTTTTGAATTCTCTTTTGCATACGATTTCTCAGTTTCTTTCTCGAGTCTTCCCAAGTTTAATTTTCTTTTTTCCTGAGGAAGATTCGCCCTGAGCTAACATCTGCGCCAGTCTTCCTCTATTTTGTATGTGGGTTGCCACCTCACCATGGCTGATGAGTGGTGTAAGTCTGCACCCAGGATCCGAACTCTTGAACCCAGGTTGCTGAAGTGGAGCTTGCCAAAATTTAATCTCCATGCCATAAGGTGGGCCCCTAAAAATTATTTTTTGATATCTTTGTAGAGATTTATTTATTTATTCACATTATTTTGTATTTGCATCTGGTACATTTAATAAAAGACCATAAAGTAATTTTCTTAAAGTTTGTTCTTAGTTTGTCCTGTGTTTAGTTAGACTAAGTGCCAAGCTGTGTTTGGCAAACTTGAGAAAGTAACTGCTAATTAAGCAAAGTTTATTTAGTGATAAAAAGAAAGCAGGAGCACTCCTTTAAACTAGGTGTGAGAAACTGATTCGACCATGTTGAGTCCTGCCAAGTGTTGCAGACTCCTCAGTTAATGATTTAATTAGTGACAAACTGTCATCAGCCTAAGTAAATGCCTTAACACCAGGTTCTTTTAGTCCATCCCTTGTGACTTAGACCTACAACTTCTAAGTCATTAGTGTTTTGCTGTTATTAGCATATGCTAACATAAGACTTCATTTGGTTGACTTTAGAGAAGCTATAAAAGTAAGCTCTTTTCCCCTCTTCTCTTCTAATTACTTAACCTTCACATTTTTATATGAGTTTCCTTGCCACTGGTAGGAAACCATAGTGCTCCACTTATAAAGACAATTATTACTGCAATAAGTTTTAATATTTTGGCCACCCAGCACCAGAATTTAATTTGCAGATGTTCCTCTCCTTGTTGAAAGTCATCTTGGTGGAACGTGAAATCCATGTGTCTGCCCTCTTCTTCAAAAGCAGCCTTCAGATCACTGGAAATTTTTTCTGCATCTCCCCACCCTGGCAAGGCCAAAGCCTTTGAAACTTGAGAAGCATGAAGCAAAGCTGGAAGAATGAGTTGGACTTCATCCATTCCCCACGAAGTTTGTCAAGCAAGGCTTGCTACCGAGACTGGTTCTGGACAGGTCAGGAACTGTTCATCTTCAGCCTTCCCTCTGCTCTGTGAGCTCCCTCATGTCTTTCAAATGGAGTCACTCTTTGTAAAGTCAACCTAGAGTCTGGTTTTTTGTTGTTGTTGTTGCTTGCAAATGAAACAACTGCTGTGATATACTCACTACTATTATCGCTGTCTCTTTCTGTATATGCCAACATATAGATACAGAACAAAGCTACATGATACCCTTTATTATTGATTAGAATTTTTTCTTGTTACGATTTAACATGTATTAAGTATTTAAAAAAAACTCTCTAATATTATGCCATGTGTCCTGGTATCTGAAAAACCTGACTCAGGTGAACATGAGACAGTCAGAATGCTGACATATCCAGGAGCAAGAAAAACATGAGCAACTGTGAAAATAGTCTCCCACATTCTGAGGACGAGAAAGTTATGGAATAGTGAGAAAGAGAAGGAATGTGAAGGCACTTTATTTTTTAATTAAGCACATGATGCTTTGATGAGAATATAATCAAATTATTGATTATACATTTGGAGTAGCGGATAGAAATGTAAATAAAAATACCATTTAATTTAATACAATTTAAAAATGAGACAAAAAAGAAAAACCTAAAATTTTCTCTACATCTGTAGAAAAATGATATATACTTGAGAGAGTTATAAAATATCTTTGAGGAGTAAAACAAATTACAGTCTGAGACAAGTCTCATGATGTAAAGGGAACTTAGAGATCATTTACTGGAGACTCCACAAGTCATTGATCATGTTCTTTAGTACTTCATGGTACTTTAAGTTTAATACAGGGTGCTGGGTCAAAAAGCCAGTGTCACATACTCATCCCAGAGGTTTGGGTTGCCTGTTTCTGCCAAACCTAAATCTTGACCACTCCCTCCCTCCTTGGTACCAAACCTGTTAATCTCAAATTCATATGCCCCATGCCCAGTAAGCCAAACACTGAGACATTGATGCTTGGAGATGGAGAAAGGTTTATTTGAACTGGCCAAAACAAGAAGGTGGGAGCTTAGGTTCTCTCAAATACACTTTAGCAAGAGCAGAAAGCAAGGAGTTTTATAGAGCTAAGGAGCTTGGCAGGAGGAGTTTTGGAGAAACAGAGGGGTCACTCCTGATAAGCCCCTGGGCAATCTGACTTCTCAGCCTCAATGACAGCTGGGGGCCAGCTATCCGTGATTGCAACCTCCCCAAAGGTGTTCTTTCTTCTGCAAAACAAACTCACAAATCCTCAAGACCCAACTCACCCCTCAAGTTAAACAAGAGAACAGCAA